TTGGCCTAGCTCCTTATTTTGTTTATTTGTTGGTTTTATTTTGGGGTGACTTAAATTGATGATGACCAAGACTTTGGGCCTTAATTAGGTGCAGGTGTCCTTCATGAAACACCTGTCAGATCTTTCCCAATTTATAAGTTTCCCCACAGCAGCATCTTTTTGTGGGGGGTTATTTCATTTATTGCTTTGTGTTTGGCTTTATCTGTCAGTAGATTGGGGGCTGCACAATAAATTAAAGTCATGGAGATGGTCAGGATTCTCTCTTCTGAGAAACATTTAAGGAATGGAAATTACAACAGGTAAGTGCTTTTGGTTTTTGTTGTTGGTGGTGGTTTGTTTATTTCTTTCTTTGTTGTTGTTAAGGTTTTATTCCCACAGTAGTTTGATTCCACTTACCAGCAAGAGTCAAAAGATCAGGAAAATGACTCTGATAAACACTGAGAGGCATGAATGCCTGTTCTTATTGACAACGTGCTGATGAGATCTCCCAGTTAATATGCTTTACAAGCCTGTGCAGCTGGGTCTTCTTGGTGAACAGAAAACTGCCACAGTATCAGAGCCTCCTGCAGAGGAAGTGCTGGGGCTGTTGCAGTAAAGCTTGGTCAGAAAGAGCCTGTAATAGTGGACTCTCAAAATCTCCTTACTCGGAGATTAACCAAACATATGTGTGAAAAGGAGACTGCTGCGCTAGTGCTTGCTCCTGCAATTCCTGCCCTTTGCAGGTTGCAGCAAGAAGTTTTAGGATTAAAGCCTGTTTTGACTATTCTTCCAGAACTGGGAATATATTTCAGGAATACTGCTGTTCAAAGCTTGGGCTTGGGACAACAGGAAAAATTGTTGCTGAACAGCTATGGCACCCTGCAGGTAATTTGCAGAGCAGCTGCCATGAGTGTGCTGTGATTTAGGGCAGAGCTTGGCAGTGTTTTTTTTTATCTTCCTCTCTTTTCCAAAATACTAAAACAAGCCTTTCTGTACAAGGAATGGAGATGATGTTGGCATTCCCAGCAAAAGAAACACTGGTATCCTCGAATATTGTTCCTGGCAAAATGGCCTAGGAAAAGGAGTAGATTGAAAAACCAAACGGCTTTCCTCACTGAGCAAGAAAAACTGCAAACAAATATATTAGCAATTGTAATATATGGGCAAGGCAACAAGAGAGCTAGAGGAAACCACCCCAGAGGAACTGGTTTTGTGACAATTAATCTCAAAATACTTCAATTAAAACTTTAAAAGTGTGCTTTATACTGTTGTGTACTTACTCATAAGCTCCAGGTTACTTCATGTTACATAAGTTTGTGTTAGACATAATTCCAGCACACTCTACTGAGGGTCTGGCATTTAAAGGTTACTTGCCTTACCACAAGAGGTATATTTAGGTTGGCTCCCAAAGGAATTCGGCACTTTTGTTTGCCCAAATTCTGTATAATCTTGCTCTAAGACCTGGCAGGTTGACTAGTGTGCTGCTAAAGAGAGGGTTTATATTCTTGCTAAATATTGATGTAGGCATCCGTGAAACTGTAACTATTTGTGCACCACCTTTGCAGTGACCAAGAATTAAAGTTATTTTCATCCTTAGTGGGTGAGGTTGTGGGTGACTGTACAGAATATTTAGTTTTACTTGCCAGCAGGAAGGAATCTTACTAATCATATTTCTATTATTGGAACCCACACCTTTTCAATTCTCTTCTTTATAAAAGTGACTGTAGTGCTGGTCTTTGTGAGCATACCTATTAGTTTCAGCACCAAATAAACTATTTCTTACTTGCTGGACACAGTCTAAATGTATTATAAAAAAAGGGGGATGCATTTTTCATTAATTCCACACTCATGCCAGTGATTCCCTTTGTTTTATACCTAATTCTTTCTGGTGTTTTCCCTTCACCCTGCTGCTCAGTGTCCCCCGTAGAAGAGCTTAAAAATGAAACAGGGTAGAAAGTGGCTCAAGCTATGACGTTATTGAAGTAGTATTTGAAAAATTGCATAACAGTAGTGCTAATCCAAAATATAATGAGAATAAGTGAAATTATTCCTATCTCTAAACATTATAGAATAGATAACACTTTATTGTTCTGCAAGCTTGTCCATGTATTTTGGACTTGGGAAGTTTTACATTCCTTCAATACTGGGAATTAGTTGTTTCTAGCCTGTTTGGCATTCAGTGGGTTAAGAGTTCCTTCAGATCAAGCCCCATATGTATCCTGGCTCCCTGCATAATTCTTCCCTTAGAGCACCTTAGGAAGGGCTCCCAACAGCAGCAATACCTGGGGTCAATGCATATTGCTCCTGGCAAATGGCTGACTTCAAATTCACCTGCTGTCCAGGTATGCTATAGAAGCCTGATGTATTTTTAACCAACTTATTAATAAAAACATAAAATGCTTTCTGGCACTCAACATTTAATTTTGAATTTATCTTTGAATTCTAATGGCTTTCTGAATCTAGAGGAGTACCATAGTCACAGAAGTACCTCTGCCGGTGTCTGCAATAAGCCAGTCTCTTTACACCATTTCACCCAATTTGCAGCTCCCCTGGATGGTGTTTGGCATTTGCAAATTAAGGTGGTTCCACCACAACCGTCACTGGCTGGCTTTTGAAATGCACGTTACCTGCTGGTTCCTTGATCTCAGAAAAGAGAACTCAGTGGAGAGTTAAGCCTTTAATTAAGTATGTTCTGACAATTGTTTTAGTCACTGAAAACTATGATCTTGTTTCTATTGACTTACAATTATAGCATTGGAGTAAAAAAATTGCAGACTTCATGCTGGCTTGTTATAAATATAACATAATGCATACTCTGCTCTCTGTTATTTAACCATATTTGAAGCAGGAGGCTCTCCAGTGTACAGGAGTCCATCTTGCATTCTATGGGTAAAATCCTGTCACATGTTGCCCGTGTCAATACCAGTTTGTATTCTATTCCAAAGCAGTGGGTATATGGGTGAACAAAAGGGGATGTCTTGGGTCTCACACACTGAGAGTAAAACACTGCACTGCTTCATCCCACTTGATCAGTTTTCAGTGATGAAATTGCTGGACTTTTTTTTTCTCTCTGGTGCAAATGCACTGCACTGTGGTAACCCAAATAAACCTTTTGCAGCATCTCACTTCCTCTGTGTACACTTTGAAGGTCTAACAACACGATAGACAACATTATTGTCTCCTGTGTCTCATGGAGCCTTGGTGCCTTCAAGTCCCAGAAGTGGCTCCATTTAAGGGCTGTGTCTCTAAGCCAGTTCTAATGAGTTAAGTTATACCTGTTGTCATAAACCATCCCCTTTCTGGGCAGGCAACAGCAGCAATGACAGTCTGGTCCCTATGAAAGGAGAAACTGAGGCAGCGATATCATCCTGGTTACACAATAATATGACACATTTGTGGCTCACAGTCATATGTTAACAATTATACCCTGAAAGTTTGACTCATCTGACAGGAAAAAAATAAAAAAAATTTAAAACTTTTCCTTGAGAAAATTCTAGTTAGTATATTACAATCCTGACTTTCAATTTTGTTCTTAGTTTTGATGGACAAGAATTGAGATGTTTGACTTAACTCTGGCAAACCTACATAGTAGTTTATTCGTGTGACCAATCCTTTTTTAAGATTCTCTCCTCTGAAGTCAGTCTTGGGAGAGAAATCACATTCCAGAATAGCAGTGCAGACACGTGGGATCTATTTGATCTCTGCTTTTAGCCTGAAGTCTGTATTTAGTGGGGAGTGACTTGTTATGTTTTGATATAGTAATAGTAGTATTCCACAACCACTAAAATGTCTAAAAAAGCAACCATATTTTATTACAAAAAACTATGCATAGATCCTTTTTAGATGGTTTTTGTGATCCAATTCCCAGAGGAAAAAATCATACTGCATAAGAAAAGACAGTATTATAGGTAATTGCTAACTCTAAAGCTCAAAATAGTTCAACAAATGAAAAGAGAAAATAATTTAAAAGTAAAAAGGGGAGAAATGAGACAGGTACACCTGTAGAGACTGCTTCCCACTAATGGAGCATTTGTTTTTTAATGATTTTACTCTGAGAGAGTTGTGTTTTAATTAATGAAGAATTAAGTGCAGAGGCTGACACAATCTCCTTGCCTGACTGTAAAGTCACTATGAAAAACAAAACAAAGCCCAAAGCTCAAAACTTTTTGCCCAATATGCAAAAAGAAAATAATAAATCAAAACAGCTTAATATTTTAGGGTTGAGTCTTTCCACTACCTTCTGCTCTGGAAGTGATCAACAGTGACTGGTATATTACAAAGCTAAGATGAATGTTCTGCAAATGCAAACACAAGTTCCTTCTCTCTTTATCCTTCCCAGCGTAAGGTTTATCTGGGGGGAAAAAAGGCCTAGAACACTGACCCTAGAGCCACCTTCTGATGGCTCTGGGACTGACCAGCCTCTCTGGCACACAGACAAAACGCGGCCCTTGTTCCTATTCAGGAACAGGTGTGGGAACTGCGATTCTCGGGGCAAAGCGAATGATGTAAAACCGAACGTTGGTCGTTTAAAATCGGTTTGTTACCAGTACACTGGTTTGTACTGTGATTTCTGAGTTCTTCGGGGTTTGCCGTGAGCTGCGGCAGAGCACGAGAAGGAAGGAATTTGTACAGTGGCATATTCAGTGTGGGTTTTATTAGGACATAGTGGGATCTCTGAACAGATACGCGATGCCCGGCTGCTGCAACCCGGCCGGACCTGCTCCCTCACCCGCGGAAAGGAGGGGACGGCTGTCTCTTGTGCTCAGCTTCCAGTTCTTGAGGTTTCTGTGCGATATCGGTACGAGGGAATCGCTCGCTCCGAGCAGCGTGCGGGGAACTGCGGGCACTCGTGTTTGGGGAAACCCAACACCTAAGGGGCACTTATCCAAGGGGGACCGAAACAGCGCACAGCACCGATGCTGCCCCCGAAAGGCTGGGAACCGGAAGGGACGTTCTCCCGGGCACCGCCCCTGCAGCGGGACCCGCCCCGGCCCGGCGTTGCTGGGCAACCGCCCCCGCGCTCCCGGCGTGCTCCTCGCCGGGCCTGTGGCCGGGGGTGCCGACCGCCATCTCGTGCGCGCGGCCCGGACATGGACGCAGGTGCGGGGCCGGGACGGGGCCACTCTCGAGGCCTTCCGGGCTCTCGGAGCGCCGGCTGTGCTGGGACCACGCAGGTCGATCGCTCGCGGCCCGGGAGAGGCCGCACGGGCGCTGGGGCCGCTCTGAGCCCGCAGCCCCGGAAGGCCCCGCACGGTCCTGCCCCCGGCCAGGGCCGGGTTTGTCCCGGTTGAAGCCCCGACCCCGATTACTTTCAAGTCTGTTGTGTGGGTCCAGTTCTTACTGTTTTTCTCTTGTATCAGATGATACAGGAAATCGACTTCGATTCCAGCTGGAGTTGGAGTTTGTTCAATGTCTGGCAAATCCAAACTACCTCAACTGTGAGTACTTGAATACCAGGACCCTGAGGTTAATATAGTTTAATGGTATTTAATATTCCTAGTAATGTTAAACAGGGAGAGAGGGCTAAACAAAGAAAAGGGAGTGGGTCTTTCACAGAATAAAGGTAGTCTGTAAATAATTTGTCTGTTTAACAAGTGGATTTTTTTTTAATGCGAAGTCTTACTTGCTGAAATGCAAAAGACCCCATCTATTTGGTGGAGAAAAAATAAGTTTAGGTCTGTTATTAAGCAGTAATGTTAACAGCATTCCTTTATCCACAAAAAGAATATTACTATCCTGAATGATTTCAGGTAGTATACTTAACTTCCTGCTAATTTTGATGCTACAGTCAAAAATTTCCTGTTTCAAAAAGCTGTTCCATTGTATGAAAGATGCAAACCTAGAGAGGTGAGAGTAATTTATTATTTTGTCGGCATAAAAATCTTACTTTTCCCTGTGGATTTTTTATTTGTTCAATATAAATTGTAAAAATTAAATTGCATTGATAAAATTTTTACTCTGTGAATAGGTATTCATGTGTGCAGATTTTTTTCACCCATGTATAACTGACAATTCCTTGTCATTTTATTTCAGTTCTTGCACAAAGAGGCTACTTCAAAGACAAAGCTTTTGTAAATTATCTTAAATATTTACTTTATTGGAAAGAACCTGAATACGCAAAATACCTGAAGTAAGTGATAAAATCCCTTAGGTTTCTGCATTTTCATGGTTTGGCATTGACCTCCTGTTATGTACTGTACAGCAGCATGTCAGGGTTTGGTTTCTGCCTGTAACCTTCCCTTTGGCCTCCCTGATGGGGTTATAAGCAGCATAGATTCTCCTCTTTCCAACAGTCCGAATGTAGCAGGAATGGGAAAAATTATAAAACTTGTATCTCATGAGTTGTGTGCGGAATCTTCCTTTACAGCCTTTATCTGCACTTTCCATTGATTTAAAGCTGTTAAACATTAGGGTACTACTTCAGTTAGGCCCCTTAAGTGCATTTTAAGATTAATTTTGCATTGTTGATGCTTACATGAGAAAAAGGATGACTTTGTGTTTTTGCAAATGTGCAAATTCCTTCCATTTTTGAGAAAATGTTTTTTATTGTGTTCTTTTAAACGGGCTCTGAAAACAGGTGTTGAATTGTTATGGATTTGCTGTATCAAACTGAGCCATTGGGGAAGCTTCTCTAAGCAAGCAGGAATGTGCATTTGTAAACTTGTCTGGCCTTGTTTCATGGCCTGATGCTGCAGTTACCAAGGCAGTCTGTGGAACATGTGCAGGCTGAAGGGGTTTCGCACTTGGGTAAAGCACATACATGACAAAACTAAAGTAATGACCTTCAGAAGTACTGGAGACTCCAGATTTAGTGTCCCTTGTAAAAAGCTGTATTAATGCGTGTTTATTTTTAATCCAGGTATCCTCAGTGTTTGCACATGTTAGAGCTGCTCCAGTATGAACATTTCCGCAAAGAGCTGGTCAATGCCCAGTGTGCCAAATTTATTGATGAGCAACAGATCCTCCACTGGCAGCACTATTCCCGGAAAAGGATGCGCCTCCAGCAGGCACTGGCTGAGCAGCAGCAGCAAAATAACACCTCTGTAAAATGAAAAGCACGTGGAGTAGTGATGATAAGGTGTACTTAGTATCAGTGAACTATTTACGGGAGAGGAATGAACCCTTGTGTAGTTTTGGCTCTGGATGTGTCTCCCTTTAATATGGATTTATCAAATGACTAGGGTAGTTTTTGTTTCGTCAGCTCCTTTAGAGACTAATAAACACCTAATGCGATTTATTAGGTAGCATGGACAGTTTTGTAATAGCTTTACTTACATTGTTACTGATTTCTCTTGATTTTGTAAACAAAACTCGTTACTTACTTGTTACTTACTGATAAAAGTATCTACAAAAAGTGTAGCTCCAAAGGCTGTCCCTAGGAGGCCTTTTCTCTGGAGAATAGTGATGTGTCTTAGTGTGACTGCTACTTAGAGCTGTGGGACACGCAAAAGTGCAGTGATGATATTCTACAAAATCCAAGTGGGGGGGGGTTTCCTTGAAACCAAGCTGAGCTATTACCTGTTGTTTCTGTTTTCCTGGCAGTCACTACTGCTGGGAGTTTGGAAGGGTTTTCCTTACAGCATATTGTACAGATAGAGGTCAATGTACAGGATAGGTAGTGGAGCAGAGATAAGTGCCGATAAACTCTGCAGATACAGAAGGAAACAGGCTGTAGCTCTGCTCTATTAAATTCAGCTTCCTTGAATCTTGGCCTCTGCCCCTGCAGCAGTGGCTGGTCTGGGGCCTCTTTACAGTCCGTGTAGTGAGAACAATGTGTGTAGGAAACATGTGTTGCTGCATGGAGTATTGGAGAAGCACTTGCTGTTTATTCCTGCATGTTTTTTATTGTAAGAACGCAGCTCTTGGCAGCTGCCAGAGTTTTAATTTTTGTATTTTAGATTGTATTTTGATGCATTCGTGTTGTATTTCCTGTCCTTGTAGGAGCAGGTGCTCCCAACTGTCAACCATTAACATGTGATCAGTGACATTGTCCGCCTTCACCTTATCACACTTGGACTGAACAGAGAAGCCATTAAACATCTTTGGCATTGAAAATTTATCATACCAGCCTCAGTAGCTATGTGGTCAGATTTAGGAGGTATAAGGAGGTTTTCCTGTTTTTCCCCCTTCCCCCTTACTCACTTTGACAAATGTAATTTGGCAGTTACTATTCAGTAAGTGCAGGCTGCTCTCAGTTTCTAACGTGAGCTCAAATCCTTTGAAAAGAGGCTGTTTAGAAACTCAAGTTTATTTCAACATGAAGGGAAAGATACAGCTTTTTGTTTTAAGACTTCAGTGTAAGGTTTGGACCCAGAATTTAATAACACTTCTCTTGACTAGTCTGAAGTAATTAACCATGAAAGTTTTAACAAAGGTCAGTGGTTCCTTGAAAGGACACTGCAGTAGTTGAGATTACCATCTTCATCAATGATTGGCTAATGAGGGATTTAGTCTTCAGTAAACAACATCCGCACAAGCTCTGCTTTAAAACATTCTTCTTCAACCAGCTTCTGAGGCTGAAAGAGAAGCTGACAAGTTTTAGGGGCAATTCAAAAACCTGTTGTAGCCCAGAGCCAACTGCACACTGATATTAGCCACAGCCAGCAACTGTTGTCCTGGGGAGGGGAGTAAATGGAGGTGAAACAAGTCAAGTAAGAATAACTGAAACATTCCTCGGGATTTTCTGACCTTGGAAGAGGCATTTCTAAGAAAGTAATTGCTAATTTAATTAACGTGTACAAGTTAAAACTCGATCTGCAGTCTGAATGTACTGCACATAACTTGTTTCACGTAATTCAGCGTTCAGATTTTTCAAATGCTGAGGAGCTGTGAGTGAAGAAGGTTAACAGTATGTAGCTAAGAATTTTCTCAACCCCTCAAGCACTACAAGCCAAGTGTACATATTCCCTCTACTGCATGAATATTAGAGACAACATTACAGCATGAGCAGAGTGGTTCTCTCTTGAGGACCTGTTTGAGGCAGGAGGACTGCATGGCAGGGGCTGTTCTGAATGTTCTGCTCTCCTTGAACAAGAGAGAGTTCTTGGAGAACTAATTCATTTACAACCATAAAGCTCCTGCCATGTCCCCATCTCAGAGCCTGTAGATCCAGAACATACAACAAATCACTTACTGTTCCATATTTAAGTAGGGTAGGCACTCCTGTTAGTTTCAGATTCCTCCTGAATTCATTGTTGGGGTCTTTCCAGCTGTTCAGAAAGAAGGGATTAAGCACAGCTTGTAGAGGGGCATATTGAAGTTAAAATTCCTTCAAAAGGACGATTCAAAGGCCTTTGCCTCATGCCTCCCCAACCCACTTCTCAGAACAAGCATGCAGTTCACATTAGAGGTGGTGAAGACCTCCAAAAAGGATTGATTCCTTACAGAAAAGGGCAGTCCAATCATTTTTTTCAGTGGGTTAGTTAACCACCAGTCCACTGATGGCCAAGTTATCCCAATTGCTGGCATTTAAAGTTACTTACTAGGCTCTATCTCCTACGAGGCAGTAGATGAAAACCGACTCATCAGGCAGGTTATGAAGTTCGTTCCTCACAACTGGTTCAGCTAGAGAATAATTTATAAAATCTATTAGTAATTAATACTTGTACTGTGCTACAGAATCACATGGATTTACTTGGACCAGCAATGCTGCTAATTAATATTTGGTCTGCTTCAGTTGCGGATCTCTTTCATTTCACCTGGCTATCCACAAGCTTTGCAGTTTATTACATGCTTAACGTTCAGGGGATTGGTCTTGGGAGTAATGACCAATTTCTGCGTTAACAAGGAAGAAAAACACTCATTTCGTAAGGCAGCTCTACACGTACGACCCAGGCAGTTCAGTGCGATGGTTTCCGACAACTGCTTCACCTGCTGCTGCCGGACACCGCCGGGGAGGGCACTGCTGCGCCTCGACACGAACAGCAGAGGTGAATTACCTGCCCGCGGACTGTTGGGTTTGCTGGGCCGTGAACCAGCCTCCGAACGGCCCGGGCCGGCCCATGCTCGCTGTGGGTAACGAACGGGGCACGGCCCGTTCGGTTCGCCAGGGGAAACCGCGGCTGGAGCTTAGCACCGTCACCGGGATTGGGGCTGCTGTGCCCGCCCGGGTTGTTCCTGGAGGGCTGCCGGGGCCGACACAGCCCGTGCCTCGGGCGGGGCGCTCTCCCCCGCGGGCCTCACCTGTCACGCAGTCAGGGCACCAGCTCCTGCCCTCGGCGTCCTTGTCGCCGCAGAAGAGCGCGAAGATGGGCCGGCCGTGGTAGCCCTGCGCCGTCCGTACGAACTCGTCGTACCCGCGGACCTGCGTCTCCTCCCAGCCCATGGCGGCGGCAGCTCCGCCCGGCCCAGCCCGCGCGGCCGCCGTAGCTGCACGCGCTCCCGGCGGCCCCTGCGGCAGCGGCGGGACCGGGTTCGAACGGCGCCCGGCGGGTCTCGGCGCGGCACGGGTCGCCCTGCCCGCCTTCCTCCGCCCTCCATTCCTTCGTCTCTCCTGCCTCCCGGCAGCGTCCGGAGTCTGCCGGTGCCGCCCGGGACGCCGTGAGGCTCTGGCAGGCAGCAGAGAAGCCGCCCCTCTCTCCTCTCCGCAGCTACTCAGGCCGGTTCTCCCTCTGTTACTCACTTCAGATCCAGGATTGCATTCTAGAGTCTGAAATCACGGCTGGTTGTTCTTTCGTTCACAGCTGTGAGCACAAGCAAGGGACAGCAGCGGGATTTGCTCTCAAGCCGATGCGATGGGGCCAAGCAAAGCACCGGTGTTTGATGATGCGTTTGCATTCTCCACCCAGCGAGACAGGAATGAAGCAAAGGCTTTACAAACGCAGGTACCGTTTGTTTTCTGCAGCGATGCTGAATTGGTTTCCATTTGTGAGTGTTGCAAAACTATGATTATGACCCACTTACCGAGACAGCCCACCAAGGAGTGTGATACTCGCTTTCCTGATGCTATCACGTATAATCTTCACACTGTTCTTTTGTAAGAGTAGAGATTCAAGAACTATATCTGTAAATGTTCTTAACTTTCTGTTGTGGTTCAGTCCCAGTAGGCAGCTGAGCATGCAGCTGCTCGCTGACTCCCAGCGGGAAGAGAATTGGAAGGGGAAAAGTATTAAAAATTGTGGATTGAGATAAAGGCATGATAATAGAGAAAGCAAATGCTGTGTGCACAAGCAAAGCAAAATAAGGAATTCAGCCATTTCCACAGCTTCATTACGTGTAGCAGTGACTTGGGAAAACAAATACTGTCACTCCAAACAGCTTCCCCTTCCTCCTTCTTTCCCACAGCTTTTACTGCTGAGAATGATGCCACATGGTGTGGAATATCCCTTGGGTCAGTCGGTGTCAGCCATCTCAGCTGTGTCTCCTCCCAGCTTCTTGCCCACCCACAGATTACTCATTGGTGTGCAGAGTGAGGAGCAGAAAAGGCCTTGAGCAATGCTTAGTAAGAATGAAAACACTGGTCTGCTGTTAGCACTGTGTTCAGCACAAATCCAAAACAATGCTGTCATGACGGGATACATGCTAATATAAAAGAAGATCTAATTTCCTTACTGTTATACGCTTGAGTTGCATCACCTATGTAAAGTGTTCTCTGTAACATCAGATTTTTTTTACACTTTGAACAGCTCCAGTTTAATAGAAATGTTCCTGCAGTTCCAGAGAATTTGGCTCTCAGATTCTCTCACCCCCGTCCAATTATAATAGAAAAACTGAAGGCATCCAGTGATCAGCGAAATCCAGCTGGAAGTGAGGACCCCAGCCTGAAAAGCTCTGGCATGTTCTCAGTGGTATCTGAAGAAAAACTGAAACTGGCCATTCAGTTGGCCAAAAGGGACATCAAACGAAGACGTCTTGAAGAGCAAGTGAAACAGCGAGTGTTTGGAAGTGTGGTCAGTAAACCATTGTGGACCCAGAAGTCACAACAGCAGAATACTGAAGTATTTGCAAGTCCAGGAAATAAAAATGCACTGAAGCCTCAAACTCACTTGTCAGGTCAGCAGAGGCTTGATCAGCCTTCCCAAGGGAAGTCTACCAGCTCTGACAGAAATGTTTCTCTCCGTGTAGCTAAGGAAGGAAGGCCAAGATCAGCTGTTTTGGACTCTCCACTCACCCATGACACAGGACCAAATCTCAAGCCAAATTTAAACAAAAAAGAACATAAAAATTTGCAGGAAGTCCGATGTTTGCAAAAGGAATTGAGGAGCTATGTTCAGAAAATTGAAGAAACGATTAAAAAAG